TCGGGTCCCCCCGCAGCGTCCCCGCGGGCTCGGAGGCGCTCAGCCGCACTGCATTGTGGGAACGTGGGACGGAAGCGAAAGGGTCGACGGAGGCTACAGGAATCCTCTTAAAGGGGACGCGGCCGTGATGACTGCGCGTGCGCAAGGGTCGGCGCCGTCTGTAGGTGCTGGCGAGCTGAGGAAGCGTGAGGGAAAGGGTAGCATTTAGAATTTAGTGCCTAAACACCGTTCGCTAGCCAGCCGCGCTGATTGGACGAGAAACTTGGGCTTCTTGCGGCTCTGTTTCTCCCTCTATAGCGCCGCCTACTGCGCAGGCCGTGGCGAGCATTCTGAGGTGACGCGGGAAGCGCCCTAGGCGGGCGCGCGCAGCTCTCCCTGCATTTCGGGCGCAGCACAGGGGCCGACTCAGCAGCTTGTGGACCGAAACCCAGCCGCAGCCTCAGGTCAGAAGCCCTCCGGGCCACCTGTCCCCACTTTACAGTTTCTTAGAACTGACGGGGCGGCCACCCTACGATGGTCTCCCGAGACGAGGGTGTGAAGACCCCGTAAGAACTATTACAGCCATCGCTATAGAGTGTCTCTGGCGATTTGTGCTTTTCACCCTCATCTAGGATACCCGCCCCGCTTTGTTTCAAGGGAGAAACCTGAGGTCTCAGAGAAGGGTTGGGATTAGAACCCAGCCCCAGGCCCCTTCTAAAAACAGTGCGGGACCTCAGCTGCGCACACACCTTGCCGCATTTCCACAGACACGGCCAATAATGCGTCCTATAGTTCCATTAAGTCTTCATCTAAAGGTTAGTCATATAAAAATGAAACTTCGCTGGGCGTGGTGGCGCACGCCTGTAATGCTACCACTTGGGAGGCTGAGGCAGGATTGCCTTGAGTTTGAGGCCAGCCTGGGCTACATAGTGAGTTCAAAGCCATCCAGCACGACAAAGTGAGAACCTGTCAACAACAAAAAGGTAGTTGATTTCTCGTTATACTACCCTTGAACTTGTTAAAATGAAAACAAAAAATTGTTTACCCAGAAATAACTTGAATATATAACCTTTTTGGAAGCTAAGTTGATAGTATACATAGAACTTTGATACACAAATACTCTGGCCTCACAATTCTGCTTGTAGGATTTTATCACTAAAGAAATTATTAAAATAACATCTATTTTTAGCATTGTATTATGTGCAATTAAAAAAAAGTTAAACTGGGCGGGGGATTTAGCTCAGTGGTGCTGCACCTGACTCACAAGTGCAAGATCCTGAGTTCGATCCCTGGTACTCCGCCTCCAAAATAAATAAATATTTAAAAAGTTAAACTTATGTGCTGGTTATGGTGGCACACATGTGTGATACCAGTACTTGGGAGGCTGAGGCAGCCAGATCGCTGCAACTTTGAGGCCAGCTCTACTACCTAGTGAGTTCAAGGACAGCCTGAACTACTCATAGCAAGATCCTATCTCAAAACAACAAATAATATTTAAAAATTTAAACTCCTTAGGCAGTGGTTCAACACAACACTAAAGTTACACAAGTAATGTTTTTAATATTAAGGTCACGCTATAATTAAAGCAAATTTTGAATGGTATATAGTACATAGACATAAGTATATTCTAATGGGATCTTTTAAGCTGGTTAACCCTGGTTGTCTGTATATAAAAAAATGCATCCGTGAAAAAAAAAATGCATCTGTGGAAACTTCACTTTTGCCAGGTGTGGGACAGGTCTGTAATGTCAGCACTGAAGCAGGAGGATCACTGTGAGATCAAGGCCAGCCTGGGTTACCTAGTGAATTCAAGGCTAGCTTGAACTACATTGTAAAATCAAATTATGGGCTAGGGATTTCGCTCAGTGGCACAGCACCTACCTGGCAAGCTCGAAGTCCTGAGTTTGATCTCTGATACCAAAAAGAAAATTATTACTGAAACTATCATCATAGTTCTAATTATACACACACACACACACACACACACACACACATATGCAATATATATGCATACATACTTTTATATATTAACTGCTTACAACAAAGCATAGAAGAAAACCTTTCAGATGTTTATAGTGATTTTTCTAATTTGTGGAGAAATCATCTGATGGCAATGATTTATCTATTATACGTTTATGTATTTATCAAATTATCTAATCTGCATGTAATATTTTTATAACTGGAATAAAACTAATATATTATTTATAAAATGAAACAGTAGGACTGTAGGTTGTATTCTGGATTATATAATGCTTCTAGATATTCTTTGCTGGGTTTCCAAAACCAAGCAGGAAAGATCCTTAGGCAAATGTCATCTTGAGTTCAAGTATGCAGTCTTACAGGAGCTCATGTATCCTACAGGCATTCCAAAATTCAGATGTCCCTTCAGTTGGGGAGATGTACTTAAATGGACTAATATTCTCTCAGTCCTGTCACTTTATCACATCTATGATTGTTGCATGGGAAGCTTAAAAAAAAATAGCCAGGCAAGTTACCCATGCCTATAATCTCAGTACTTGGGAGGTTGAAGCAGGAGAATTCCCATGAGGATTAAAGCCAACCTAAACTACATAGTGAGTTCAAGGCCAGCCTGAATTAGCAAAACTCTATCTCAAAAAATAAAAAGGGCTGGGTGTGGTAGAGCATTTCTGTAATCCCAACACTTGGAAAGCCTGAGGTTGAAGGATGGATCTCTGTGAGTTAAGAGGCCAGCCTGGGCTACATAGCAAGTTAAGGACAGCTTGGTGACACATTCCTGTAATCCATTACTCTGGGAGGCTGAGTCAGGAAGATCTCAAGTTTAAGCCCATCTTGGATAATTTAATGAGACCCAGTCTTAGAACATAAAAGAGGGAGAGGATTGGAAATACAGTTCAGTGTGAAGGCCCTATATCCTATTACTGGGGGAAGAAAAAGGCACCCATGGAGTAATATCTACATTATCCATAAATGGTTTTGGAGTTGGATTCTCAGTGTCTTGGATATGCCAGGGAGCTCAGATTAACCAAAAGGTAAATATAGGGTAAGTCAAATGGCCTAACCACGGGGTAAGTTACCCAGGAAAGTAACAGGGTAGCATGACAGGTATAGGAGTGATTACAGTATAGGGAAACCATGGCGATCATCCCAGCAAGACATGCCCATGGCCTGACTGGTGTAAAAAGATGGGAAGGACCTAGGGACATAGCTCAGTAGTAGCATATACACTTGCTGAGGAGGAGGAGGAAATCCCAGGACTAGAAGATGGACTAGACTTGTGAGCTGAGGAAGGAGAAGACATTGAAGTTGATTCTCGGGTTCCTGGCTTGGGAAACTGGTTGGGAGGGGTATCATTCTAAGACAGAAAATAAAACAGAAGGGAAGTAGAAGGAATTGATCTGCAGGAGGAGTAGCTGATCTGTATAGGATAGATGAGGATGAAATGTATGTGGAGGACATAAGGAAGAGGTGCAGTGACAGCATGGCATGGTGGTCCATGCCCATAATCCTAGCACTGTGGTAGGCTGCAGTAGGAGGATCCCAATTTTAAGGCTAGTCTGAACAATTTAGCAACTTACCAAGACCCTGCCTCAAAATAAGAAATGTCTGGGATGTAGGCCTGTGTTCAAGCCCCAACTCTAAAAAAAGAAAAAGAAAGGTATCATGGTCCCAGGCTCTGTGCCCTGTCCAATACAAATAGATACCCAGCTATATGACATCTAATATTGGTCATTCCTCAGGTACTTGGGATAGGACTTCCCTTCATACAGGGAGAAGTTTTCACTTAAAATATATGGAAACGTGAGCCAGCCATGTGGCACACACCTGTAATCCCAGCACTAGGGAGGCTGAGGTAAAAGGATCACTGCAAGTTCCAAGCCAGCCAGAACTACATAGCAAGGCTCTGTCTCAGAAAACCAACCAAACAAAATATATAGAGAAGCTTGATAAATACTCATTATTCCTAATATGATAATAAGAATGGTACCAATGGGCTTGTCCTCAGTGTGAAAAGCCTTTGAAATTGGTAGAGCTAATGCACTTCCCACCGAAAGCTATTCACTGTCTTGGAGAGAGGAGGGCACTGCCCAATTAAAAAACAAAAAAACACCTGGGATAAAACATCCTGCAAACCTGCCCATCTGGTTTTCTCTCCCTTTCCCTGTGACATCAGTCCCCTCTGCCATCCCAACAAAATGTTCCCTTCCATACTGGGCTCAGTCCTTGAGCCCTTCCCAGACCAGGGGCCTTGGCCAACAGTAGGTACAAGGAGAAGTGATAAGAGTAAACCATCAGTGGGAAAAATGAGTCCACTTGGAGAAGGGCGTCCAGGCTGGCAGGGAGAGAACTGGGCTGGGTCGCTGGGGAATGTGTTCCTTTGGAAGCAGCCGGGGAGCCTGCTCTGCCACGTGCCTCTATGTGACATGGAGTGAAATAAAACATCTCTGGGCTAGGGGGTGACTTGGTGGAAGTGCTGCCTAGCATGTTTGAGGCTCTGACTGATCCTCAGCACTGCAAACAAACAAGCAAAAAATATAATAATTAAGAAAAATAAAACATTTACGTAGAGCTACATAAGAACTGAGCTATGAAGGGGAGAATCAGCCACAGAATTTGAGATTTAGAGTCTGGCAGGGGAGAACAGAGAGCTTAAGGGAAACAAGTGCCAAGTGTGGGAGGATGAGCAGACAGAGATGGGAAGATAATTCCAGGAGATGTGCAGTGTTGTGAATGTAATTCCCCTTTGGTCTTTTCTTAAGGGACTGCAGAAAGTCTTTTAACATTATTTTTCAGTTATTTTTGGATAACGAAGGAATGCACAGGGCTAAACAGGTGGGAAGACAAGGCCTGGTTTTATATGAGGTTATTTAAAGCAATGAGCATACTGAGTTTGTAGCAGCTTGGTTGCTTTATTTTTGCTAATTTGTTATATTCTGAGATGGAGTCCTCAAATAGTTATTTATTTGCCCCTTTTAAAATTTATTTTCCAATAGCTTCTCATATCAGGACTTCCTTTTGTGGATTCTCAGGCTTCAAGCATCAACAAATGTAGTCAGGCATGGTGGTCACACATGTATTCCCAGCACTCTTTGGAGGCTGAGGCAGAAGGAACACAAATTCAAGACCAGCCTGGGCAATTAGTGACTTAAGGAGGTCCTGTTGTACAATAAAAAAGAGGGCTAGCCGGGGATTTAGCGCAGTGGTTCTGCCTCCTGCCTCGCAAGCACAAGGACCTGAATTTGATCCCCGGTAATCCCCCCCCCAGCAAAGAAAAAGAGGGCTGAAGATGTAGTTCAGTGCAAAGGTCCTACAAAAAAGAAAAAAAAAAACATGAACCATTGCCTCCCCACTCCCTAACTGCCCCCCTCTCTCCCTTGAATCTGAGCCTGCAAAATTCTAAAAGATGTATGAAAAATATTTTATAGGACTTAGGCATGATGACACATACCTGTAATCCTAGCATTTGGGTGGCTAAACAGGAGGACTGCCAAGAATTTGAGGCAAGCCTGGGCTACTGCGTGAGACCCTGTCTCAAAACACACACACACACACACACACACACACACACACACACACACACACACACGCGCGCGCGCGCGCGTGCGCGCACAATAATAGTAGTAGTAATAGTAGTAGTTAATAAGCCAGGTGTGGTGGCACATCCTGTCTTAACAAATACAAAAAATGAGCTGGCTGGGCATGGTGATGCACGCCTGTAATCCCAGCACTTGCGAGGCTGAGGCAGGAGGCCTTCAGCCAGTTCAAGGCCAGTCTGGGCTACATAGTGAGTTCAAGGCCAGTGTGAACTACATAGCAAGACCTTGTCTGAAAAAAAATTTTTTTTAAATTTATTTTCTGAGCCAGGAATTCCTGACTCACAACTCAGAACTTTTCCCTAAATGTTTTATAATCTGTCACATAACTTGGAAACTTATAGTATGACATAGTAAACCAGAAACACAAGGATGGTATAAAAAGATTAATGAATGTGCTAAGGATGTTTTTATGTAGTGAAAGGACGCTTTGTTGAGTAGAACCCTTTTTTTGTTAGTAAGTAGGAGTCAAATTTAGGGGCACTCTACCACTGAGCTTTGTGTTTTGTTTCGTTTTGTTTTACTTTCCAGTACTGGGGATAGAACTCAGGTTCTTGAGCTTGTGAGGCAGGTGCTGGAACCACTGAGCTAAATCTCCAGCCCACCACTCATTTTTTTTTTTTTAGATCAGGTCTTGGTAAGTCACTAAACTGTCAGGGCTGGGCATGAATGTGTGATCCTCCTATCTCAACCTCCCAGGGTGCTGGTATTACAAGTGTGGACCACCATGGCAGACTCCAAATAAATTAGATTTTAATGACTAAATAGATTTTATTTATTTATTTGTTTGTTTGTTTGGTACCAGAGATCGAACTCGGGTCCTTGTGCTTGCGAGGCAGGTGGCGGAACCACTGAGCTAAATCCCCAGCCCGAATAAAGATTTTAATGAACCATATCCATATAATTTGGTAGTCACCTCCAAGACAAACACATTCCCTAAAGGTTAAAATAATATATGCTGTACTGTATGTGGAAAATATCCAGAAGAAGGAAAATAGTTGTCGTGATGCCTACCTGTACCCCAGCACTCTAGGAGAGGCAGGAGGATCTAAGGTTCAAGCCCAGCCTGGGCAACTTAGCAACTTAGGGACCCCTTGTCTAACAATAACAAATAAATAAATATGTGCTGGGGATGTAGCCTAAAACAGGGACAAAACCAAGAGCTAAGAAACTTCTAGGCCACAAGAACACACACACACACACACACACACACCCCCGCTAACACATGCACAGTGGCTGAATTTCCTTGTGTCTGGCTGAGGCTGGCTCTCCTGGAAGCACGTGTGCAGGGCCTCTGTGAATGTCACATTGACAAACATTCCCTGAAGCTAGGCAGCTGGGGACTGTCTCTTGTTGTGCACATCTTTCTCTCAGTAGCTGCCAGTTTGTCTTGCTGGGGCATATGGGTGGGGGGCTTAATGTAAGTTTATTTTACATAACCAAGTGAATAAAATCAAGAAAAAATAAATTCAATAGATAGTAGAATTCAATGTGGTCTCATACACTCTGCAGAAGTGGAGCCTGATTTGGAGGGTAATCCTAATGTCCAAGTAGACACCTATTTGGGACTTGTGACTGCAGCGACATGGAATCATCTTGCTGTCAGTCTCCTTAACCCCATAGTCAGGTCTTTCAGATCCATAAAAACAATTGCAAAGTGTATGCCCTTCTTTCTAGCTTTTGAGCAGCCTTCCTTCATTAGTCACTTCTTTCAAGGTTGCATCCATCCAAGTGTATATCTGTAGCTCACTGGACCAGAAATTTGAGCAGAACTCATCCACTGTCTTTGTTAGTGGTGAAAACCCACAGCAGTGGGCATTGTCTTCTCAGGGTTGACTGGCTTCTTTGGCTCCTTAATTTCCTTCTGGACAATACACCATTCACCCACCATCTTCTTTCTTCAGCCAGCCAGACTCTTGCCCTGACCTCCAACCCCTGCGGCTAGCATGCACAGAAGGGGTACACTTGCAAGTGCCAGCACAAAGCAAATTTTTTCCCTTGTGGTATGCTGCAACCCCAGCTCTAAGAGCCCAAGGTGTGACCATTGCATCTGGCACTTTGATGGCTTCCTCATTTCTTGTCTGCTCAACATTTGTTCATTCATTCCACCAATATGTATTGAGCTACAGAACCAACCACCTGGCTCTGTGTTGGGTGCTGAATGCTGGGGATCAATGGCGACTAAGAAGCTGGATTCCCAACACTCTGGGAGGCTGAGGCGGGAGGATCAAAAATTGGAGCTCAGCCTGGACAACTTAGGGATTTAGTGAGACCTGGTCTCAAAATAATTTAGGGGGCGGGTATTAGGGATTGAACTCAGGACCTTACGTCTGCAAGTCCAAATAATTTTTTTAAAAGGGCTGAGAATGTAGATCAGTGTGAATCCCCTGGGTTGATTCCCCCATAAGGGGGAAAAAGTGAATAAGATTCAAATTTTGTCTTCATCTCAGTCACAGCCAACTAAAAAGGCAATTAAAATTTAATGAGATATAGGCTGGGGTTTGGCTCAGTGGTTTTGCTGCCTGCCTTGCAAGGGCCTGAGTTCAATCCCTGGTACCAAAAAAAAAAAAAAAAATTTAAGTGAGATATGTGCTATAAGACATACACAGGTATACCTGTAACTTTTTGGGGAGGAGCATGATACTAGGGATAGAATCCAAGAATGCACTACCACTCAGCTGTATCCTTAGCACTTTTTTTGTTTGTTTGGTGTTTTTGTTTTTGTTTTTGTTTTTTTGAGACGGGGTCTCACTATATAGTCCAGACCGCCCTGGAACTCACTATGTAGCCTAGGCTAGTCTCGAACTCACAACTATCCTCCAGCCTCAGCCTCCTGAGTGCTGGAATTACAGGTATGTGCTACCATCCCTGCCTGGCCCTCAGCCCTTTTTATTTTATTTTATTTTATTTTATTTATTTATTTAGGTACTGGGTATCGAACTCCGGTCCTTGTGCTTACTCAGCAGGCAGCAGAACCACTGAGCTAAATCCTTGGCCCATCAGTCCTTTTTATTATTATTATTATTATTATTATTATTTTTAAAATTTGAGATGATATCTTGCTGAATTTCCCAGGCTGGCCTTGAATTTGCAATCCTCCTGCCTCAGCCTCCAAAGTAGTAGGGATTACAGGTGTGCACCACCATACCAGCTTCCTGCATCTTAGCCCTGGCTGAGGGGAGGGTTTAGAGATGACTGTGGAAGAGGTGGCTTCTAAACTGAGACCTGAAGAACCAGATGGTATTAGGCAGGCAAATGAGAGAAGAAAAGCATTCCAGACAGAAGGGAAAACATGTGCAAAGAAAGCTCAGAAAACAGAGAGAGCTTGGTGCTTTGAGGAAGGTACATACATAGTTCCCCACAGTTAGGGCATAAGGCGGGGGTGGCTTGTTCTTTCTCACTCCACAGCCTCAAGGAATTAATGGTGAGAGGCCCTAACATACATCAGAGCCCAGCTGGGTCAGATTATACATGTAAGTCCTAAGTGTTTCAGCTGCTCAATAGAAATCAGTGTGAGTTGCCTTTACCATACAAATGTTTATTGTATATCCTTGAATAAGATGATTGTAAAGGGGACTCAAAGCTCAGGCTGGGGGGGTGGGAGGAGCCTAAGAGGAGTTTGGTCTCACAGTCTCCAAAGGGAAGCTATGAATAGCAAAAGGGAGCTTGTTTGGAAGCCAGAAGGACCTCAGAAATGTAGTGAACAAAAATCCAGTGATTCCTCCTGGTCTGAGGAGGAAGGGCCTTGGGGGTAGCTGGATTCAGAATGCTGGGATGTTTATTAATGATCACCCCGTAAATGAAAGTGACCTCAGGGACCATCAAGAAGGGGACATATCAAGTTGAGGGTGGAGCTCAGTGTCTGGTGCTCATCTAACATCTGCAAGTTCTATCCTAAGTTCTATCCCCAGCACTGCAGGAGAAAGGAGCAAGGGGCTTGTTAAATGTGCAATGCATAGTTCTAGTTGTGAATATTATGCAGACATTAAAAAGAAACGAGGATCTCCAAAATATGTATGGAATTCCTCCCGTGTGCACTGCTAGGGACCCAGCAAAGGAGACAGAGTATCCTCTGAAGAGGGGCCCAACTACCTCCACACCTGCCCTTGGCCTTCACTATTCGCCTCCAGTAGCTTCCCATCACCCACCACTCCTCAGCCTGCTTCTCTAGGTTCCACTGTGCTAGAAGTCTGCCTCTTTCTTCTGGGTTTTTGCCCAGCTACTACTCCCTAGAAACTGTTTCTCTCACCTCTGCCTTCCCAGTCTTTGCCTGGCCAGGCTATCCACAGTCATCACTCTTCAGGTGACTGACCAGTGGTGGTGCCCAGACCATTGTGACACAATCTAGAACTTTCCTCCCCATCTGTTTCTCTGAGAGACCTCCCCCCCCCAGGCTCCTCTAAGACCCTCAGAGGGCATATATTGTCTGCTAATATTGCTAGACACATTTTAGAATCATCTTATCTAGTTCTATATGGCATCCTGTTTGGTATTTTTATTAGG